GACAGAGAACTCCCAACAGACATGATCCAAAGAGATCTTCACCCAGACACACGGTGCTCAAGTTCTACTCCAATGAAGACAAAGAAGGAATCCTGAGACAAGTACGAAGTAGAGAAAAGATCACATACAGGGGAAAACCCATCAGAATCACTGCTGACTTCTCCGAAGAGACCCTACAAGCAAGGAGAGAATGGACAAAGATCTTCCAAGTCCTGAAACAAAACAACTGTCAACCAAAAATAATCTACCCAGCAAAGATCTCATTTGTATATGAGAACGAAATCAGACACTTCAATAGCAAAGAAAAACTAGAAGAAAATGTCTACACAAAACCAGCTCTGCAAAGTCTCCTTAGAAATGCGCTAGTCCTGGATAAAAAGGAGGCAAATCACAAACAAATTTGGCAAATAAGAAGGTCTCCAAACTAAAGGCCGCACAAACAAGATAATTACATAGGCAACAACACACACACAACACAAACACATGGCAGGGCAAAATTGCAACCTCTCAATTTTAACTCTCAACACAAATGGTCTAAATTCACCAATCAAAAGACAGAGATTAATAGAATGGATCATCAAACAAGACCCAACCATCTGTTGCCTACAAGAAACGCATCTAACCAGAAAGGATGCAAAGAAACTGAAAGTGAAGGGATGGAAAAAGATATTTCACGCCAATAGACGAGAAAAAAAAGCTGGGGTAGCTATCCTAATTTCAGACGAGATAGATTCATTCTAACTAACATCAAAAGAGACAGGGAAGGCCATTTTATACTGGTGAAAGGAATGATCCATCAAGAAGCAATCACCATCATTAATGTTTATGCACCGAATCTTAATGCACCTAGTTACGTAAAGCAATTACTTACAGACTTAAGGGAAGATATAGATACCCGCACAATTCTTGTAGGCGATCTCAACACACCTCTAACAACAATGGACCGGTCTACGAAACAAAAACTCAACAAAGAAACAACAGAGCTCACACAAACAATAGAACAACTGGACTTAGTAGACATATATAGAACTTTTTATCCTAAGGCCACAGACTATACATTCTTCTCAGCGGTGCATGGCACCTTCTCCAGAATCGACCACATGATAGGACATAAAGCGAATCTAAACAACTTCCAAAACATTAGTATCATACCATGTACCCTCTCAGACCACCATGGGATGAAACTGGAAATCAACAACTCAAAACTCCCCAGGAAGAATAGGCACTCTTGGAAATTGAACAATATGCTATTAAACGAACAATGGGTCAGAGAAGAAATTAAAGATGAGATCAAAAAATTCATGGAAACCAATGAAAACTCTGATACAACATTCCAAAACTTGTGGGACACCGCCAAAGCAGTGCTACGAGGTAGATTCATCGCAATCGGAGCGCATGTCAAGGCCCAAGAAAGACGCCAAATACAGGAACTAACCTCACACCTCCAGGATCTGGAAAAACAGCAGCAGAAGAGTCCCACGCACAATAGGAAACAAGAAATCATCAAAACAAGGGAGGAGATAAACCACATAGAAATCAAAAAAACTATACATAAAATCAACAAATCAAAAAGTTGGTTTTTTGAGAAAATAAACAAAATAGACACTCCACTGGCCCGATTGACCAAAAAAAAAAAAAAAAAAAACAAGAGAAAGTGAGAATCAATAGCATTAAAGATGAAAAAGGCAACATAACAACAGACACTGCAATCATTAAGAAAATAATTAGAAATTACTACAAAGAACTGTGCTCCAACAAATTTGAGGACCACCAAGAAATAGAAAAGTTCTTGGACTCCCACCACTTACCAAAACTCAGTCCGGAGGCAACTGCAGAATTAAATAAACCCATAACCGAGGTAGAGATTGAAACAGTCATCAAGGATCTCCCAACAAAAAAAAGCCCAGGCCCAGACGGCTTCACTACAGAATTCTACAAAACATTCCGAACAGAACTAACCCCAATCCTCTACAAGCTCTTCAAAACAATAGAGGAGGAAGCAACCCTCCCAAACTCATTCTATGAAGCCAACATCACCTTAATCCCAAAACCGGACAGAGAACCATCAGAGAAGGAAAACTACAGACCTATTTCTCTGATGAACATTGATGCTAAAATTCTCAACAAAATCCTAGCCAATAGAATTCAAAAAATCATCACACAGATCATTCATCCGGATCAAGCAGGATTCATCCCTGGAATGCAGGGATGGTTCAACATTCGGAAATCCATAAATGTTATAAATCATATCCAAAAACTGCAAAACAAGAACCACATAATAGTTTCAATAGATGCAGAAAAAGCTTTCGACAAAATCCAACACCTCTTCATGCTAAAAACTCTAGCCAAAGTAGGCATAGATGGGAAAATCCACAACATAATCAAAGCAATTTATGAAAAACCCAACGCCAGTATCATACTGAATGGAGAAAAGCTAGAACCCTTCCCACTGCGATCTGGAACAAGACAAGGGTGCCCGCTATCACCACTGCTATTCAACATAGTCCTAGAGGTACTTGCAGAGGCCATAAGACAAGAAAAAGAAATCAAAGGCATACGTATAGGAAACGAAGAAGTCAAGCTTTCACTATATGCAGATGACATAATCCTATACATAGAAAAACCAGGAGACTCAATACAGAAACTGCTAGAACTTATTCGAGAGTTTGGCAGAGTGGCGGGGTACAAAATTAACGAACGAAAATCAACAGCCATAGTGTATGCAAATAACACCAAGATGGAAGAAGATCTAACCAACAGGATACCATTCAAAGTAGCAGAGAGAAGTATGAAGTATTTGGGAATAAATCTAACCAAAAGCGTAGGAGACCTATTCGAAGAAAACTACAAACTATTTAAAAAGGAAATTGAACAAAACCTCAAAAGATGGAATAACATCCCGTGCTCCTGGATAGGCAAAATCAATATCATTAAAATGTCTATACTACCACAAGCAATATACATTTTCAACGCAATTCCAATCAAATTGCCCAAAACATTCTTCACGGAACTGGATACAATGATTCAAAAGTTCATCTGGAAACACAAAAAACCACGAATAGCTAGAACCATCCTGAAAAATAAGAAGTTAGCAGGGGGAATCACAATCCCAGACCTCTGGACATACTACAGAGCAGTGGTTATCAAAACAGCCTGGTACTGGCACAAAGACAGAAAGAAGATCAATGGAATAGAATAGAAGCACCAAAAGGGAACCCACACAAATACAGCCAATTAATCTTTGACAAAAAGACCAATGACAGTTCAAGCAAGTGGGAAGGCCTCTTTAGTAAATGTTGTTGGGACAACTGGCTGATAGCCTGTAGAAACAAAAAGATAGACCCACATCTATCACCATACACTAAGATCCAATCTACATGGATAAAAGACCTAAACCTACATCCAGAAACCTTCAAACTCTTGCAAGAAAATGTAGGAAATACCCTGCAAGACCTAGGAGTAGGTCCCGACTTTCTAAGAAGGACACCAAAAGCAATAGCAGTTGAGAACAGAATAAACAAATGGGACCTCATCAAACTAAGAAGCTTCTGTACAGCAAGGGAAACAATCAACAAAGTAAAAAAGCAACCCACAGAGTGGGAGAAGATCTTTGCACACGATATAGGCGATAGGGGGCTAATTTCCAGGATATACAAAGAACTTCAAAACAACCAAAAAACCAAAACAAACAAACCACTCAAGAAATGGGCACGGGAAATGGGCAAACATTTCACAAAGGAACAAGTCCAAATGGCAAACAAACATATGAAAAAATGTTCCAGCTCCCTAGCAATAAGGGAAATCCAAATTAAGACATCGGTGAGGTACCACCTAACACCAGTAAGATTGGCCCACATAAACAAGAACACCAACGACGCTTGCTGGTGAGGATGCGGGGAAAAGGGAACCCTACTCCACTGCTGGTGGAGCTGCAAATTGGTACAGCCTTTATGGAAATCAGTCTGGAGAACACTCAAACAACTCAAAATCTGCATACCATATGACCCAGCAATAGCACTCCTAGGAATATATCCAAAACACCTGTTTTACGACAAACCAACATGCATCCCTATGTTCATTGCAGCACAATCAGTAATTGCAAAAACATGGAAGCAACCGAAATGCCCATCAGCAGAAGATTGGATAAGAAAGCTTTGGTTCATCTACTCCATGGAATACTACTCAGCTATTAAAAAAAACAAAATGCAGTTCTTTGTGGCTAAATGGGCACAACTGGAAACTATAATGCTAAGGGAAATGAGCGAATCCCAAAAGATTAGATACCACATGTTTGCCTTGATTTAACCTGTAATTTTTTGTTTGGTTGTTTGTTATTTTTTGAACCTGTCATTGATACTGTCTCAACCCAGATGTTTCGAAGAATGGAACTTGCATTATTTTTAACATATTGTTTACCCAATACTATGTCAATTAATTCCATAATGTTGTATATTGATACTGAGGCCTTGTTGGGGCTTTTAACTGACCGGATCTTTACTCTGTTAGCTCTATCTTCAGACCATAGAAGGTCTCCCCAAGAGGCCACTGAACTTATCTGGACAATAAGACGCTGAACTTTATGCTAGGCATGTGTTTGCAAGCAATGAATCTCAACTGAACTTGAACTATGGTTATGCAACAAGGTGGAGGAATCCACCATGGGGGGAGGGGTATGGGAGGGGTGGGGGGAATCCCCAGCGCCTATAAAACTGTACTACATAATACAATGTAAGCAACAATAAAAAAAAAAAAAAAGAAACTCACTGGAAGATGCACAGAAAAATAAATACACCCAGAAAAGCTACAGAACATGTGTGCCGAATAGCTTTTGTGAGGTGGTTTAACGAGCTGTTTGTATTTTCCAAATTTTTTATGGTCAACACAAAGGATCCTTACTTTTTTTTGTTTTAATTGTTTTTAGACACAGTTTAGCTTACACAAGAGTCTCCCTTACCTCCAAAGGCCCCACCTCCTCCGCCCTGTTCTTCCCCTGTTTAAGCCCATAGACGTAGTGGGCGGGGCATCTTGGTCCTCTGCGAAATGGACTCCTTAGCTGGCAGCTGCTGGTTCTCCATCCAGATGTTGGCGCTCAGCACCAGCCTCCTTTTAGGTGAGTGATGGAGCAGGTGGGTGTGGTGGGAGGGCGAGGAGGCTGTGAGGAAGGCAGGCAGACAGCCTGGGCTCTCCTGGACTCAGCCTGTTGATTCCTCAAGCGTGGCGAAGCGCTGACTTCTTTTTGTGTTGGCGCATATCTGTACTCCAAAAGAGAGCTATTTATCCTGTTTTGCACAGCTTGCCAAACTGACGCTGAGAGCTGGGGCTGCAGCTCCAGTTTCCTGGCGGCAGGCTCGGTAAATAAAGAGAAGCTGAGCTCTCATCCACCGCTAGCTTTTTGTGTGGTTACAAGTTGCTTCCAAGCCCTGGGTGGCAGGTGTGTGCTGTGGTTACTGTCTGGTGAGAACTAGGCTCTGGCTTTGTGTCCTGCTCCCTGCCCTTGACTGCAAAACACTGGGGAACCAAAGAGGAGCTGAGCTCTGCAGTCAGATCCACTGGATCGCAACTCTGGCTCTGCCCTTGCCAACAGGATATGCTTGAGGGCAAGTAGTTATTCCTTTCTGAGCTTCATTTCACCCAGCTGTGAGATGGTGAGACCAATCCTCCCTCCAGGTGCTGTTTATGAGAGTGAAACAAACACACACACACTGACCACTGTCTGACACAGGGAGGCAGATGATTTATGTGTAGGGCATTTAATTTCTCTGTCTTGATGAGAAATAAACAAATTAAAGAAAATATAGGGCCATTTTCTTGCCTGTGATTCACAGTTTCTTAAAAATGAAGAGGATTTTCCTCTGGCAACTGATAGTATTGTGGCGACAAACAAGTCTGACCTTTCCCATCTTTCTTGCTCTTTCTCCACCTCCTACACAAAGGTGGCTGCTGCCAGCGCTGTTCTTCCTTACTAATTAATAAGGGAGAGACTGCTGCTGTTGGTGGTAAGTGAACAAAGAAGGTGGAGGAAGAAGACACAGATAAATAAACCTCAGAGATAGTCATTCTTATGCGAAACCATGCATGCAAATTAAAAATGAGATATGTGTTTGCCTGTAAAATGAGCATTTTTATGAGAACACTCTGTGTGGCCATTGAGCAGTGCCATGAATACCGTCATGCATTGCCAGATAGTCAAATGAGTAAAAGCTGCTTGGTAGCCTGTTTGCAGTGTCAGAAACATTTGTGTTTGAAATGTTAAATGTTCCTTTACTATGGGAGCTCTGTTTCAAAGGAAGAATCTGACATAGAAGATGCACATGCACAAGAATGATGTGTGAGATCTTTCATGAACTGAGATATTGAAAGGATTTGAGGGACAGTGTTGTGACTCAGAGGGTTAATCCATAGATTCTGATGCCAGCATCCCAGGTTCAAGTCCTGTCTGCTCTTCTTCTGATGCAACTCTCTGATAATTCATCTGGGAGAGCAGTGGAAGATGAGTCCCTGCCACTGATGTGGGAGACCCAGATGGAGTTCTGGGCTCCTGACTTGATCCTAATCTAGTGTCAGTCCTGTGATCATTTGGGAAGTGAATGAGTAGATGGAATCTCTCTCTCTCTCTTTCTCTCTCTCGTTTTCAAATAAATAAGTTTATCAATAAACAGATACTTTTAAAGAATAAAAAGATTTGGTCAGGAACAAAGACAGGAGTAAACATAGGTGGAGCATCTGTTGTGTACAAGATTCTCTTGTTTTCCTGCTTACGTTCAGTGCCTGTTGGATCAGTGATCAGTTCAGAATATTTTGTTTTCCTTCTCCCGTGGCTCTAGCTGCATCCATGGTGCTCCTAAACCACTTCCACCATGATATCTCCAACACCATCTGTCACTCTCCTCCCAGAACTGTGTGGGTGGCAGAGCAAGGGGGGCACAGGAAGCCACCTCTGCCTCCCACAGCCCTCTTGTTTATGTGTTGCTGGTTACCCAACTAACTGCTGATAGCCGGAAGTCCTATGAAGAATGATAGGCAGCTAAACCAGGTGGGCATCAGCCTTATCTGAATTCTGAACAAACACAGAACAACTGTACCTAGTCCTTCTGGGGTACTACATGGCAGGGGAGGGAGGATTGTGCCTGGGTCCCAGTGCCCCTAGCACAATGTTTTTTCCATTCTTTAAGTATTGACAAATCAAAACCCCTTTCTTGTAAATGTGTGGAGTAAAGCTGTTTTGGGCAGTGCTGAGTTTATAGATAAACTCATTTTTATTAATAACCAAAGTTGGTTGAACTAGTGACTTCTTGTCCTTTTTCTTTATTCTTTTAAAATTATTATTATTGTTTTTGGAAAGGCAGATATACAGAGAAGAGAGACAAAGAGAAAGATTTTCAGTCTGCTCATTCACTCTTCTAGTGGCCACAATGACCAGAGTTGAGCTGATCCAAAGCCAAGAGCCAGGAGCTTCCTTCTGGTTTCCCACACAGATGCAGGGTCCCAAGACTTTAACCCATCCTCTACTGCTTTCCCAGGCCAAAAGCAGGGAGCTGGATGGGAAGTGGAACAGTAGAGATATGAACCAGTGCTCAAATGAGATCCCAGTGGATGCAAGGCAAGAATCTAGCCAATAGGCTATCATGCCAGGCCCTCTTCTTCTTCTTCTTTTTAAAAATTTTATAATACAACTCCATAGGCTGTGGGATTTCCCTTAACTCCTCCCTAACTCCCCGCCCCCTCATTGAGTTCCTCTATATTATTAAAATAGTATAGTTCATAAACAATCATAATTCCATCTTTGTGGGCATGGACCATACTGAGAGTCCAGCATCCTATTGTCAAGATAAATTTAACAGTTTCATTGAGAGTCCATCTTTGATCTGAAAGTTGAGATGGTAGAGTATCCTCACATCTAGATATGATAGTCTCCAATAAACAGTTACTGTACAACCCCTTAAATGAAAAACCACAATACAAAATCAACAACAGGAAGAAAAATGGAAATTTACAGCATCAGAAAGTTAAATAACATGCTACTAAATGATTAATGTGTTAGAAAGTACAAGTTCTTAACCGTAAACCTTAAAATGGTTATAGGATACTATTTGGCTGTCTTGAGTTTTTATATATATTCAATTCGTATTTATATTTAGCAGTTTACAGTATTCAAGTGAGATTTTACAAAACTTCATGAATTTTAGGATAATCAAAACAGGCTTATAACTCTAACAAGCCATATATTAACAATTGAAAAGTAGAACAGTTTTAGGAGGGGTGCACAGAAAAATCTCTAATATCTTAGCTAGTGAGGAATAACTGAACTTTGTGTCCTACCTAGTTGCAAGTTTACCTTGCGGGTTCCTGGGGAGGAGATGTGACTTGAAGAACCGGGGGTGGGGGGGAACAGAGCTCTCTTTTGGCGACTGACAAAGTTTATTCCCAGGGTTTCAGTTTTTATACCTTTCATGAAACAATGGTTCAGACCTAACTCAGAATTAGATCATGTCTAAGAACACAGAGACAACGAAGAAGCTAACAAGGCAACTTAGAGTTATTGAAACAGGGTATAGATAATACTGTCCGTCCTTGTTTGGCTAGACAGAGCACAGATGTCTGCCTATCTTCAAGAAGAGCATAAAAGCACATCCAAGGACTCACTGGCGAGAGCACACTGTGGGTGAGAGGCCTTCCGCCTTCTCTTTCCTGGAGCCTCTTCTCAACAGGGTCCCACAGGCCTCCGCTGTCCCAGCTTTCCTATGGACTGTGTTCCGACACTTAGTGAGGTATATGAGAAGCCAAGCTGACTTTTTCTTGTCTGTTCTAAGCTTTCCTTATTAGTCTCTCTCTGTCTATCTGATCTAACTTTGGGGGCTCCACAGCAACCAAGATGGTCAGTGCAAGAGAGGATGGGGAGCCAAAGTTGGAACTAAGTAAGGACCAGAGAAAATTCCTCTCCTGAGTCCAGAAGGAAGTTTACTATTCTTCTGTCTCTGAGGACCACCCGGGGCTCCTGGCTGTTGTTTTGATGTCATTAGACCCTATGTGGAAGGTTCTGGGCTGCTTCCATCCCATATGGGAGATCTGAAGGGAATGGTTTGCCTTAGAGTTTTCAGCCTACGAGGGGATTCAAATTCCCTGTGATCTTCTTGATGGTTGGGATATGGTCCTTGGTATACATACTGACAGTCCTTGATGAGGTATCCACTGCTTCTGTGGTGAAAGCATTTGAGAGGTTTCTGGGGATCTCTGGGACTAGGATGCAGACCTTCTCTTAGCCTCCTGTACCCCTCCTGCTCTGTGCATATGACCTCCTGTTAAGAGACTGTCAGAATCGCTCTTGGATCCCACTGTCTGTCTCTATAGTTTTTGCTAAAGTTTAATGCAGTTTCAAATCTGTAAGTTAGCCAGGCCCTATTTTTAGTTATTTAGTTTGAAAAGCAGAATTTCAGTGGTTTACCTCAAAATGCCTGCAACAGATGTGGCTAGGCCAGAATGAGGTCAGGTCTCCATGTGGGTGGCAGGGACCCACGTACCTGTCCATTACCTGCTGTTTCTCAGGGTGTGCATTAGCAGGAAGCTGGGTAGAAAACAGAGACACTTCAATATGGGGTGCTGGTGAACCTCGAGGTATCTTAATCCCTGGGCCACAATGCCTCCCTTTTCCTTTCTTCTTAAAATTAAACACTTAAAGAAAAGAGTGTCACATTTAATTTTAGTTTGTTAAAAATTTGCAAAGAAAAAATTGTGGGGTGTATGTTTTCATGTGTCTTCAACAGCCAGCTATTGTCTCCATCACTAGCATCCCACAACGACACCAGTTTGAGTCCCAACAGCTCTACTTCCTATCCAGCTGTCTATTAAAGTGCCTGGGAAGAAAATGAAAGATGACCCAAGTGTTTTGTTCTTGTTACTCATATAGGAGATCTGGATGGCGCTTTTGGCTTTGACTAGGCCTCGTGTGGCTATTGTAGCCATTTGGAAAGTGAACCAGCATATGGAAGATAAAGTGTGCTCAGTTTCTTTCTCTCTCCTCTCCTTCTCCTCCTCCTCTCCTCTCCTCTCCTCTCCTCTCCTCTCCTCTCCTCTCCTCTCCTCTCCTTCTCTCTCTCCTCTCCTCTCCTCTCC